AAAAAAAAAGAAAGAAGCTTGACGGTAGCTTACTAACATTGAAAATTATACAATACACAATGTTCTAAAATAAACATACGAAAATGCATACATTATGAACTGAAGTATTTTAGAAAAATAAAGTGCTGATTATAAAAACAAACATATCTCCAAAATTTACAAAATCAGAAGACCCAACTAAACAGTAAAAAATCATTTTTAAATTCAGTAATTTTCTTAATTTTGTTGATGTAATTTATTAATTTTTTTTAATTAAGGTAAAAAAGTTAAATGCGAAGTAAAAATATGAATTAATTAAATTCAGCAAATATACAAGTTTTTAAATGCCTTTCAGAAAGATGAACGACAATTTCATTGAAGAGAGAAAATAAATAAGATATACTGTTGACTTTAAAATACGAAAACAAAACCAGGTTGAAATTTGTTTTCTTTAGAAATAACAAATTTCAGTGAGAATTGATTAATAATTATCATTTTTTATGATATACAAGTTGGAGGGTGGTACAAACATTTGGTTTTATTACCTTCACTGATCTCTTTTTTAATGTTGTCTACTGAAGTAGTAATGTCTCCTAAGGCTCTTTGCGTATGTTCACGGAGAGCAGTGAATTTTGATAAAACTTTCTCCAGTTCTTTTTCAACTAGTTGACAAACATCCATTTTGTTGACAAAATTGAAGAAGACAGGGGGAGGGGATTTTCTTTTTTATCTGTTGCTGTGAATCCTGAGTCGGGCAGACAACGGCATAACAAAAATAAACAGAGCAGTAGCAGTTTTAAGTAATCTAAGGTTTTCGTCGTCGTCGTTGTCTTCTTCTTTTGTTAAACTTGACACGCGATTAGTTGCGCCTTTTGGTCTCACGTGACCGGGTCTTCCGTTTAGCCGAACCGGGTGATGTAAATAAACATTTTTTTTTTAACTCCAAAAATAAAATGTAATAAAAAATTATTTAATTGCGGTGATTGTAATATATTTTTATCATTCATCACATGTTTAAGATTTTTTTGGTTCTTGTCAATTGTGGTTGAAAAATAAGTCATTGCACATGTTTGGAAAATAGAAATAAATTGAGAAAGAAATGAAAAATCACTTCACACGGAAATTATTTATTACAAAATGAAATTTTTAAAAATTAAGAAAAACGACATTAAGAAAGATATAGTCTTTGTGCTATTTCGTAGATAAAACAAGCCAATGCAGGAGTTTAAATCTAACTTTAATGTTCACAATTAATTATTGTAGGGATGATGATGATGGAAGATGAGTCATTTTTTGAGAACCAAATTTTGATTATGAATTTTCACAGGAGCCCATTTTAAAGTAAATATTGCAAAGAATTATTCTTCAATTGTCATGAATAAAATGAATGACATATTTTGATTGATATATTACTATGCTAATGTATACAATACATTGAGAATAAAGTTTGGAGTAATAGAGAGCTCTGAGAGTAAAAAAGTTTTTACTTTTTACACTCTCAGCTATTCTTTTTTCCAGAAAAAAAAGTCATTAAATGAGAATGAGAAAGTGAGATTAAAGTGTAAAAAATAGAATATTGTAGGCTTTTGGCACTAACAGAACTACTACTTATAGCTTGAAGTTGAAACCATCTGTCATGATGAGTATATACAAGACTGCATTTTAATTATCTTTTAAATGTTTCAATTTTAAACATTTTTCGCTTTTATTTTTTCATTGATGGAGATTTATTTTATTGCCCAGTCTTGCAAAAAAAAAAAAAAAAAAAAACACCAAAAAACTGTCAAAAATATTTTAATACGAATTACAAATGATGCAATCTACTACCATATATATATATATATATATATTCGAAAATTATAACACAAATGTGATTTTATAACACACTAGCAGTAGAGCCCGGCGTTGCCCAGGGATGTAACAGTAAGAGATAGATCAAGTATCCACCATCATAAAGAGTGAAAAATAAAATTGACAAAGATTATTGTTTAAGGTTGACGGACACGCATGTCCTAATTATTATTTTTTTTTTTTACGAATTGGTCAAACCCAAACAAAAACATTGTTTTCAATCGTTATGGGTCTACCGATTGAATAGAATTTTATTATAAACAATTGTCTTGTAAATGGAATTTTTAAAGCATTCTGAATGTAAAAATAAAGAAAAAAAGTGTGCAAGACAGTAAGAAACACTACCTGCCAAAAAAAGTGAAGTTTTGTTGAAATCAGTCGAAAAAATGTAGGAAATCCGATCCCATATATAAACGAACACACACACACACAACCTGGGTTTCAAGTATAACTCGATATGAGTTGTCCTCCTTTCATTCTCGCGATGCCTCTTCTTAATCGTGTTTTCAAATTGATTTCGTGCAAAAACAATTGTGTTTTCCAATTTTTGGCACTGTCAGAACCACCGCAAGGTAATTTTACGTAGTCCTGTCAAGTTTTGTTGAAATCGGTTGAAAAATGTAGGAAATCCGATCCAATATATAAACGTTACAGACACACACAACCTGGGTTTTATAATAAGTATGATTTATGTTATAATTTTCGAATAAATAATTATTTGCTCTACTCTGTATTGAGCACTCTTTTAAGAATAGTATTTTTTGGTTATTGGAATTTATTCCTTATACCAACCCTATACTTGGATAATATTTGTTTTTATTATTTTAATTTCGGAGTTATGGGTCTTGAAAGAAATTTTTAATTTGGTATTTTTAAGTTTTGAAAGTTTGTATTTTATAGAGTTAAAAAGAAATATTGACACTTAAGAGAGAATTTTGGTCACTAATACCCATAAATAGGTCTTTCCTAACTTTTTGTTCCAAATGTACATTTTTAAGATAGTTGCATTTATAACTCTTTATGCTGTTGCTCAACTTAACAATTTTGGATTGCATAAATAAAAATAAACTAATAATTCATACAAATGAATTTCTATTATTATGCATTGCTTGATAACAATAAAAAATGTACAGAGTTACCAAAATAGAAAAGAGATACTTATCATTTTGTAGTTTGTCCTATTTTAACCTAGAATTAATTTTTTTTTTCTAATTTGGCGAAGTTTATATAAAAAAAAAAAAAAAAAAAATTGATATAACTGGATTTAAGTTTTAAAATAAATCTTTAAAGAATGTATCAGTTTCTAATTATCTTGATATTTATCATTGATTTCCAATACCATATAACTTAATTTTATGTACATAATACATTTGGAGTAAATAGCAGAAGACTCTTCTGAGAAGAGTTATTAAAAGTAATAATTCAGAACATTTTATTTAAAAGGGAAACAATTTAAATAAACAATTAAAATTATAGCAGATGGCTAGAAACGGATTTATGAGCATATGAGACATAACTAAGCGAACAAATATTACTCATTGCGAACAAAGAACTGAATTTTATTATTACCTCCAAAATCAAATAAATTATAGTTAGAAAAGTAAAAAAAAAAATTTGTTTTTTTACTAATTTTGTATTATTTTAGCTCGAGTATTAATTAATTTTGTCATATATTTTTTTAAAACGGTGTAATGCAGCGCACGCCACTAGAATCATGGCTGACGCCATATGCTACGCGTTAAGCTAAAAACAACCACAATAAAAAACGTTTACATTCCTCGGTAACAATGAATGCGTTTTTCAGGGTGGAAAAAGATATTCAAATTAATTATCTCTCCAATAAAATATTTTATATCATAAATAAACCTACACGTATAATTATTATTAACATTGAAAAATATAATTGTGTGTACTCTAGAAAACTGAAGGTGGTCGCTTTGTGAAAATACATTTTTTTTTTTTTGTCCCTTCTTCCCTTAATAAATTGAAGTCGTATTGAAGGAAATTGTTTATTTTGGTTCAAAAATTAAAAAAAAATAAAAAAATCTCAAGATGAAAGCAGACGTTGAGAAAAAGATGGTGATAGTATGCTAAAGAAGGGGAGATCATTTGTACCAGTTATTTTTTATGTGATTGCCTGTTTTAGGATAATAATAAGCAGTAATAAGATTTTTAAATGATTAAATGCTTCAATGGACCTACAGTTTGACCTTGGTGGAAAAGATAGTGTAAATTAGACTGTCAAAGAAACAAATAAGAATTGTAAAAAATAAAAAATGGATATATTAATTTTTTTTAAATTATTTTTTTGCTTGCACTAAAAACCATGACATGGTAAACAGAAATAATATAAACCTTTATCTAATCAGAACTATAAGAAACTTTATAATCTTATAGATGGAACCTTAAGGTTGTCTCTTATTTAATGTTTGCTCTGGTGTTACATTGAGCTCTCTGGATTATATCCTCTTTGGAATTATCCACACAGATTACCAAACCCTTCATATATATATATATATATATATATATATATATTTTACACACACAATTTTAGAAATAAATAAGAATTATATTTAATCATTTTTATTTTGATGACATGTCCACAACTGCATAAACAAAAACAACTTTCAATTGTAGAAGTGATAAACTTTCCTATCTAGTTTGCAGTCACTTTTGTAATACTTTATTGTATATAAAGGATAACATAAGAACAATTTTAAATGTTAAAATAAGTTTTTCCCCAAATATTAATATTATAAAGAATGGAATAGGCCTTCTATCAAGTTAATGTTTTACAAATGCCATTCAGTCACTATTATATGGAAGTTAAAAGCCAAAAACAAAAAGTGAATGGATTAAAATTTTCTATGAATTCAGATTAGAACTTGTTTCATAATTTATTTTTACCTGTGATTTTAGATGGTAATAAATTTCTACTTTACAAATTTTAGTCATGTGATTTTGGTGGCTTATTGTATTAAAATCTGAATACTGATATTTAACATTTTTAGAAAACATATCAAATAACTACACAAAGAATGGAAACTTACTGACAGTGAGAAGAAGACAAACTACCCTGTGCCATATGAAAATTTTAACAATAACAAACAAGACAAATGTTTTGTTTTTTTTTTTCTTTTTTATTATTCATCATGACATTTTATAATATATTAGTTGACTTTCTTCTTTTTACCACTGTAGGAATGAAATGTAAAATCTTTCAGGGGATCAGATTTCCGTTTCTGTAAGAAAATAAAAGTAAACAGATTAAATGTATTTAGATAATTTCAGATATTAGTAGTGAGCATGTTTTAAGTAAAATTAATTTTCAAAGTACTTTTCCAAAAGCAAATTTTGTTTGCAGAATTTGTCATTATTTTCAAAAAGACATCTGTAGATGTATGATTATGTTATCACTAGAGCTGTTGACAAGAAATTTGTTGTTTTATAGATGCATTAACAATTTTTTTAAAGATAATTCCATTTAATATAGAAAAATATTTCCTCGTCTGTGTTTTTTTGCTTACTCAAATAGAAAAGCATTTTTTGTTTTAGACTGTATTTAAATGTTTGTTGCGTACTAACTTTACAAAGTAATCATTTTTTACATGAAGATAATTCAGATAGTACAATAACCTATAAAGTACTAATGTTAGTTATAGGATATAAACATCAAAATAAACCGCCTCATCTAACAAAATACATTAATAAATGTAACCACTGAGTAATGTCTTAAAAGTAGATACCTCCATAGATTCACATAAAAAAAAAAAGAAAAAAAAAGGCATACCAAGGTGGGAAAATTACCCAAATTTAATAAAAAAATTTAATTTTCATTATTATTAAGAAAAAAGACCAAGGAAATTTTTGATTATTAAATTATATCAGCAGAAGAACAAAGATGTAGTATAGGTAATTTTAGCATTTTTTTTGCAATGAAAAATGAAGTGATTGGGGAAATGCTTCTAAAAAAAAAAAAAATCAAATAATTGTCAAATTTCAATAAAACTTTTAGGACTTATTCACAAATGAATGAAATTAATTTTGAAATTATTTATTTTTATTAGAAAATTTGTGTAAAATCATTTTTTTCACATCCTCCCCTTATTTAAATCCCTCCTTGGAGAATTTAAATGATCTTATTTAAATAAAAGAAGAACTCCTTGGATATAAATGCACTAATTTTTAAATGACATCAATTTTTACTGTAAACTTGTACCTAAAAATTTTGTTGTCCAATTATTTTTTTTTTATTAACAAAAAACATTTTTCCTTAATTTTTTGATATGCTAGACTTGATATTTGAGTAAAGAATTAAAAAAAAAAAAAAAAAAAATGAATAATTTAAATAGCTTTCTCTGTATCATTTAAAATAATCTACAAAGCACAATTGAACTAAAACCATTTTGTCTATATTTAGAAAAAAATTACAAGAGGCTAAAATTTGAATGTCAAAAGTTAGTGAAAATTGGACTTATATTTCAAACAAGTGTTTTAGTAAATATGATAAAGATTTAATTTTTGTTCCTTAATTTTATTGATATTTTTAGTAAGAATTAAATGAATCATAGCTTTCTCTGTATCATTTCAAATAATCTACAAAGCACAATTGAATATATATTTATATATCTTATTATAAAATCAAAGATAATTTTTGTGTGTGTGTCTGTAACGTTTATATATTGGATCGAATTTCAGGGTTGTGTGTCTGTAACGTTTATATGTTGGACATTTTTTTAGCCGATTTCAACAAAACTTCACAGGACTACATAAAATTACCTTGTGGTGGTTCTAACAGGGCTGAAAATGGGAAAAATTCAGTTGTTTTTTTAATAAAATCAATTTGAAAACATGATTAAGACACATCGTGAGAATGAAAGGGGGAGAATTCACCCATGAAAATGTAAACAAAAGAGCATAGCATGATGAAAAAGACGCCGAACTTGACGAAAACAAAATTTTATCATCTAATGTTCATATTATTATTAAAGAGGAAAAATCAAAGTATTTTGGGGGTATTTTTTTACATTTTTTAATTGTTCCTAGCATGTCTGAAATTTTCGTTAAAAATAGGTTTTTTTTTGGGTCAAAAAAAAAAGGGGGGGGCAGATAATCATTTTCAATCATTTTTTTCGATTTGATAAAAAGATTAAAATTTTACTTTGATATTCTTTTAAAAGTCAATTATCATTTTTCAAAACTGATTTTAATAAAAACAGATATTATACTGTTTATTTAAAATATTTTGAACCATGCTTAACAAGCTTCTAGCCGAAAAAATGTAATTTGAAAATAAAACAAAGCAGGTCATAACCTTTGACGAAAGGCACATTCATGACGTTTAGATAACTTACGGGAGGAGAATTCTTTCTACGGATGGAAGGAAGTGAAATTATTTAAGTGAACAAATTATTTACCTTGTTACTTTTAAGGAAAACTTTCAGCGCTCTAATTTTTTTTTTTTTTTTTGTATTTAGCTTTCATTTTTACATTTACGATGGTTTATGGAAAATATAAAGAAATTAAAAAATAAGACTGTTAATAGTGGGATTAAATTTCATAAGAAAAAGGTATCTAATTAATTTAGGTACCTTTCTTATGAAATTTTATCAAAGAAGTGTACATAAAATACTATAATTTTATGTACATTTTATTACATTTTACTGTGTTATTTGTATTTCCATTCATTTTATTATTAATTTTGATATTTCATTTATGGAAAAATGTCATAATTGAGATTAATATAAAAATAAGATCATATAAATTAAAGTTTAGCAGTAGTTAAATTTCATAAGATGATACTGTTACTTGTAGGTACCCTTTTCAGTTGAAATTGAAAACTCAAATTAACATCTCCATATAAAAAATATTTCTGCCATGACTTTAATAAAAAAAATACATATTTATAATAATTTCGATCATCTGTGAATAGTTTCTGAAAGTTTCATTAACATCTAACAATTATTTTTATTTTTGCAAGATTTTCCAAATTAATGTGTGTAAATACAAAAAAATGCGCTAAAAATTATCTATGTTATTTACTACCCCTTGTTGCGAAAAGAGAAACAAGGTTTTTAAATCAAAATTTAGAATATTCTAAAAGATGGAAAAATTTTTAAAAATAATTAAAAAAAAATTTAGTCTATCCTCTTCATAAAAAATAAGCATTTTGACGATAAAATTTTGTTTTCATAAACTTTGGCGTCTTTTTCATCAGACTATGCTCTATGTTTTAGCGATTCCGTGGGTGACTTAGGTTAAAAACCCAGGTTGTTTATGTGTGTGTGTGTTCCTTTATATATGTGGGATGTGTGTTTCTTACATTTTTCAGCCGATAAAACAAACATCCATCTTTTTTTTTTTTTTTTTCGGCAGGTAGTATTTCTTATTGTCTTGCACACTTTTTTTCTTTATTTACATTCAGAATGCTTTAAAAATTCCATTTACAAGACAATTATTTATAATAAAATTCTATTCACCAATCAATAAACTCATAATGATTGTAAACAATGTTTTTTGTTTGAATTTGGGTTTGACCAATTGTAAAAAAAAAAAAAAAAAAAAAAAAAAAAAACTAATTAAGACATGCGTGTCCGTCAACCTTAAACAATAATCTTTGTCAATTTTATTTTTCAGTCTTTATGATGGTCGATACTTGATCTATCTCTTACTGTTACATCCCCGGGCTCTACTGCTAGTATATATATATATATATATATATATATATATATATATATATATATAAGAGAGGGAGGGAGGTAACTGTTGATTTCCCAATCATGTTACCAGACAGTTCAATTGTCTTTTTTTTTTTGCCTTTCTTCCATAGTACCATTCTTAGAAGTGTTTTGGCTAAGACAAACAAGTACTGTATTTTTCAGAATATGGGATATACTAGTGTATAATGCACACACTTATTTTGAAGACAATTTTATTAAAAGAAAAGAACAGTCATATTTGAAAGATGTTAATTGAACAAAAATTCAATCTGATACTTTCAAAATGAGTATATATTGTTCTAAACACAAAAGAGCTCAGTATCAAAAAATACTGTAAATCAAAAAAAGGTTTACTCTTATTTAGTTTGGTTCAAAATCTTAAAAAAAAAAAAAAAAAAATAGAATAAAAACACGAACACTCATTGTTTTCACTATCATTTAGAAAGGAAGCAGCCATTTCATCATTGGATCTAATATTATCATCAAAGATCATCCTCTGTCCCATTTATTATATTACTGGTACCAGGAGTTCTTCACATCTGAACAAGCATCAATTTTTTTTCTTCCTTCATCTGATTGGTTAAGTGCATTGCACATATGAAATCAGGACATCATTCAAGTTAAAATGACCAATAGTGGAAATAGCGTCCCATTTGTTGTCACTTCAACTGTGATTTTTAACTCTGCAGTCACATTTGTTGTGCTTCAGTCCGGAGACAGTCTTAATGGGGAGAATATCACAGCTTGCTGTAAGAATGGTTGCAGAACAGGTTGAACAATGGTGAACATTCCCTTCAAATACCAGAGGAAAGTGAGAGTTGTAACTTATAGTATGCACCCAATATCATGATGCCAACGATTGGGTCTGTGTATCATGGGTGAATATATTCTGGAAAGTTGCCATTCTTCAATATCACACATGCAAATGACCATTACTTGCATATACTCCTATCCTTAAACATTATAGAGCACTATTTGATTCCCCGCCCCCAAGTGATCTTATGACACTACAGGAGATGTGTACAACAGTGTGGTTAAAGACACATGCCCATTGTACTGATTCAAGTAAATATTTCCCCAACTGTATATGTTGACACTTTTGTGATAATATTTGCTTTGAGCTGTGGATGCTGCTTGAGTTTGCTACTGATGCCTTTACACAATGGCCTTGCAAATGGAAATTTGGTATTTTTATAACATTTCTCCAAATATGTACTATCTAGTCCAAAAGTAGTCAGATTTCAGAACTGATCTAACTTTGTCTTAGTATTTATCAAGTTATGATCCTGTGAAGTTAATCAAAATTTGCACATATTTAATTATTTTTGCCAAAGACAAATGTTTTTCTTTTTAGTGCAAGTTCCCAAATATTAAAACAATTTAATTCTGCAAAATATAAGGAAATTGTTCTCAGGAAGATATTTTGATGCACTTTCATGTTAAATTGATCATTACCCACCTTTTTTTTTCATCATATGCCAGGTACCAAATATCAATTTCCAACATAATTTCCCTTGTATTTATCAGAAAATCAGGATCTAGACCTCTATTCTCATGTTTTTTTTTTGTTTTTGAATGATGAATCCACTTTTGACACAGACACCCTTCAACCCAGAAGTCTAAATGGGTTAAATGTAAAATTTAAGCTCTTTACAGGAGTTTTAGCAAAACAGATTTCTAGACCTAAATGCCTATTTCTTAATTAGAAATAGGAAAGTTTTATTTTAATCTTCCTCTTAAGTACAAATAACATTAATACAATTCTATAATTGAGCTGAAAATCATTCCGGGGCTAAAAAACCACAAGTGTCAATTTGGTTCTATTGTGTAATTTAAACATTATTTTAGTACAGTTGAACTTATTTTTATAACTTACCAAATTATTGTCAAACTTTCTCCTATTGAAATGGTGTGACTGTTCACTTGTGTCTTTTTGATTCTTACTTTCTCTTGAATCAAAAGAACGTTTGGAATTATTTTGTGGCACAGCATTCTTCAAACCTTTGGGTACTATAAATAAATAAAAATTTATTTAATTCTCAAAAAATTAAGGAAAAATAATCTAATGAATAATTTCTAAGGTCATACAAAATCAATTATCTGAATAAGATACTTTTATATATTTCAGATATCTTGCCTGATATTTGAAAGCATATATAAATTTATGAATAACTAAATACCTTTAAAAATTGCATTATTACAATCTATACATTAATAAATTTTAACCAAGTCTCACATCAATAGATACAGTTTAGCAAGAGTAGATATTCTTCAGCAAATTTTAAATTTTTCAATGAGGAGAAAATTTAATTCAAGACTTGTTCTGATACAGAAGCAGCTTTGTATGTATTACACTAAGAACATCATACATTGATATAAGAATCAGTATTGTCAGTCAAATTTTCAAAAAAATTCCCTACTTGAGAAGAATAAAATTAAATAATTTATTTCATCTGAAAGAAGAGCATGAAAGCCTATAAAAAACGAAAAAATATTTACACTATTTACATCATTCAGGCCGTGATCCTCATCTTTATTGTCATATTCATGACTTTTCAGCCATTGCATGCTTCAACTTTTTTCAGATTATATACGTTGGGATTTAAAACCAAACCCTTTATTTAGTCCATGGGGGATAGATTGTTCTAATTCCATATGCCATGCTTTTTTTGGATATCTCAGTTTTAGTTAATTCCGTTTAGTAATTCAACTCTCCAAGTTTTTGTTCGCCCTACTGTGGCCAGGTATTGAACTCACAACTCTTTGGGTAAAGTCACTTTTTGGATTATACAACCAATGCTTTTATCCATTGAGCCCAGTGTAAATAATTACAATACCTCATCTCAGAAAAATAGTGTAACTGAAAAGGTTCATGCTTCATACTGATGTTATCTCTTTATTTAGGAAATACACAGTGGAAACTAGAAACATAACAAATGTGGAAATGGATAAACAAAATACCTTTCAAAGAAATACACTTTTCAAACAGAAACAGTAATAATTTGAAACAAACTCAAAATAATAAAAAGGGACACATGGTAGTTTCCCTTACTCATAAAGGGTCACGTGGTAGCAGACTTGCAGAAATTTCAGCTAAAACCCTATTATTACCTCTTAGTAGCAAAGTCACTAAGTCTGTGAACACATATACTGGTCCCTTCAGTGATTGTTACAAGCAGAAAGCTAAAATTAGTTTATCTTTTCAAAATACATAGTTGAATGCATCCCCTTGAAAACTTACCAATATAATCAGGTACATGGTCAAGTTTCAGCTGTTTGTAGCTTGTTTTTAATTTTTTGTCATGACGCAAAACTTGTCTGTCCCGACTATAGTCTTGAAAATAAGTCTGAAAAAGGAAAAAAGATTGTAGTTCAAAATGTTGGATAATTAAAACTAAATTTAACCTGTTAAAATTTACTTAAAAAATTTTTAGTTAAAATTATCTAAAGATTATAGCAGGACTTATAGCTATATAGTGTTGAAACACAGGTTCCTGTAATATCACCAATGTTGAGCCTGACTAGTAGCTAGATAGGTGATCACTTAAGATTATCAGGTGTTGTAATCTTGGATGTGCAGGTGGTGTAATGGATACTAGCTTGGAATCATTATTCAGAGAGCCGAGTTCCAATTTCAGTTGTGTTAGTCATTCACTTACACACAAATAATCTTGGGAAAGGTATGAATCCACCTTTTACCCACCAACTATGGTTTAATTAGTAAGTCTTATATCACTAAATAATTATCTTACAAAAAAAAAAAAAAAAAATTCTTATATATATATATATATATATATATATTAGTGTCTGAAAATTCAGAACTTAAAACCTTTCCCTTCATGCTTTATTTCTGTCATAGTTAATATTTAATAACTTATCATACTGATTATATTGGTACCCTTAGGTTTGTCCTTGTTTTATTAACTAACCTATATATTTTACATATTATAAGAAGCACACACAGACCCTTTTTTTAATATATATATATATATATATATATATATATATATATATATATATAAGAATCTAAAAATACTTTTTGCCTTTAAATAACCTGCAAAAGTTGATAAGCTGTAGAAAACAAATCAAAAGATCACAGTAATAATAGAGTATAGACATTTTTATAAAATTTTAGCCATACCTTCAATTTTTCAGAATTGAGAAGCTCCTGACGAATCTCTTTTAACCTAGCTTCCTTAATGGCTTTTCGAGTGCACATCCTCAAAGCGTCCTTAATAATAAAAAGAAGAAAAAAGAAGTTTAGTCAACCTAGTGGATCCACCAGTTTCATCATTTTCTAATGTATTATTTTTTTCCATAGTAAGGGAAACATCAAACAGATAAAACAAAATACAAATTTTTTTTTTTTTGTCTTTTGTAGATCTAATAGTATTCACTTTATTTTAGTAACTTTATTTTGGTAGGGATATCTAGTTAATAAAAAACAATGTTTAAATACTTAATACTTTTGAGCACTTTTTGTTTTTTAATGATGCTATAAAGTTGCTTCTCAAATTATCCTCCATCAAAATGTCTTATTAGATAGCTAGCAGAAGTACCCAGCATTGTTTGGATTTCTAAATATCTGAAATGAATACAATTACACGAGTTGACTATAAATTGCATCAATAGCTTTAAAAATATGCTGACAATTTTTGGTTAGCGCAGGAATGTTAATTCCTGCATAATTGTTGCTTTCAAGCAATTACTGCATGAATTTTAACCTCCTCCCCACCCAAAAAATCTGCCTGAATTTAGTGCAACCAGCCACTGAAAATGCAAGATTTTTAACCTCAAAAAACATTACCTGTGTATATATATATTTTTTCCCCCCAAAGTATTGTAATTTACATAATTACTGTATGTGAATTGTATTTTTTTTTCAATATCAATTACATTATATATTCAGCGATATCAACTAATACATACTTTCACCATTTTTGGTGAGTACTATGCTAGTTTGGAATAAAAATAAAACTAGTGACTTACTTTGCTTCTGTATCTGAACCCTTCAATTTCTTGCATCCGGAAGTTATATGGTTTAAAGGCACTTTCTTCTTCTGCAAAGAAAGACAAACATTTAAAATGGATACAAACATTGTATAGCTGAAAATGTAATAAGAATTATGCAATCATATTTGCTTAATATATTCATCAAAACAAATGTTTTGACATAGTTCCAATATTTGCAATTGTATATGAATTACAAAATACCTTACAAAAAAAAACAGCCACCATCATAGTTTAAAGGTATAACGAGGTTGGATGTTATACCTGACACCCAACTCAGACACTCACAGTGTTATACCTGACGTACCTATTCTATTATTAATAGACTCTCCCACACATAAGTAGTAGTAGCGGCTGACAGTTGGGCTGAGTGGTGCTGAGCGAGTCAGACGATATCGGATATTGAAGTACCAACCATCACAACTAGATTGCCGAGTCATTAACTCTTATTTCCAAGTTCCTAATGTTTTGTACGTCGAACCTAATTTAGGACGACTTATTGAAATACAAGCCTCCACTGTGAAAACTACTCTACAACACACAGTAGCCCAAGTACAGAGTGTTTTTATTGAGACACCATCTCTAGAAAAGTTGCCATTCAAGCCATCCTAGTCTTATATATGTTGTTCACTGGTTCCTATAAGAATCTACTCTTTGACATATCTTGTTTTTCATCCTGTAGAGTGACATACCACTCTCCTCACCAGCAGAAAAGCCAGTCAGGGAGTTGGTTTAGATGTCAACTACTCATCCATGTGGCAGGTTGTACTGGGTTACATGTTACTAATTGCAGGCTGATCTGATCATATAAAATAATTAACAGTGTGACCTTTTGTGTTTCTTTGTTTCTGTCTATATTGAGTTGTTATAAAGTAAGTAAATATTAAGTGTAATACCCAACCTGAAGATAAACAGGCAAGAGGGTTATCCATTATACCAGCATTCTGTGGATTCGAACAGACAAAATTAACTTGCAAATGCTAAACAAGGTAAAGCACACAGATACTACACTCATTGTTAAAGGGTCAATACTATAAACTTAAGCAGAGCCCGAATATGTTGATCCATAGTAGGAATATCAGACCATAGATAAATAATCCCATAATTTTTGATAGGTATTATTCTATTAACATGTATAAAAATTTACAAAGGCTTCATTGCAATTTACACTGCTTTTACATCTCGTGCATGAATGCATTTTATATATTTGTATTCATTAAACAATTGTTTCATCAATAAAGGTATAAAAAATATAAGTGGTTTAATGTAGCAACTTTGTTAAAGTTTGAATTTTTAACTTGATATTTGTAGCAATGTGCATAATTTTAGCACAAGTTTTATTAGATGTATGCAATGCTTAAAGTCTTTTACTTAATCATCTTTTAAAGGAGAAAGTAGATAGTAAAATTTATTTTTTTTCATAAAAAGAATGAAAAGGAAGCATTTTCTCACTAGAAGTGTTATAAAACATTTGATACATGAACTAAACTAAAATTTTATTATAAGCCATTCTGAAGATTTTTCATTCCCTGTATAAATGTTATCAAATTTGGTATAGCATCAATGTGAAAGATAATTATGTAGTGACAGTATAAAAACATTTGAGGGTGTCATTTTATATTCCCACACTTACAATGATATAAGATTGAAGTTATTTTTCCCCCATTAATTCAAGTGTTAAAAATTAAACGTTAAATTAAGAGAAAAAAAAAAAAGTAAAATGAAATAAAGTCATTTACAAATATCAAATACTGACAGACTACTATACAACTTACTTTTCGATTTTAGCATAAATTCTTTTACATCCTCAAAATCTTTTCTATCTGTAATTTCCACAAAAGACAAAGCTGTTCCTTTTCGGTTCCCACGAGCTGTCCTGTATAAATCAAAAGGGAAAAAAGTAAAATTAAATTCTCCCATTACATAGTTCAACAATTTAACAACTGATTTTTGTTATATACATCAGTAAGCATTCTGCCTAACATTTGCTGAAATTTTGTAGAATGATTTATGAAAACCTAAATTCTACTCCAAAATATCTATATATGGAAAAAAGCATTTTCATTTGTAACCTTCTTACATATCAGAAGTGATTCGGAGATCAGTAAAGCAAGCATATTCAGCTACCTAAATTATCAGAAATTCTCTAGAAATCCCTGTAGCCTCTTCAGACTTTCACATTAGGCATAGATCTTGATCTGGGCAGTAAGAGAGATCTATGTACAAACATTTTTTAAAAAATTTATTTTATATAGACAGTGAGATAATCAAACATTAATTGGATGGAGGTCACCCAGGACTGAACTTGCAACATTGAATTCCAGTTTGATGTATCACAAAATAAGCAAGTCTTTGTTTAAATTCAAAGATGCTTAGTTTAGTTGCTTTTGTATGGGTGTGGGGCAAAAGAGGGCAATCAATAATATTGCACAATACAGAAAGACTTACTGATTCATGTATACAGATTTAAAAAAAAGAAAAAAAAAAAAAGATCAATATTTTTTAATCACTACCAAGACTAAATGCTTATTTTCTTGAAATTCATTTTTAAATATGGCTGGCTGGATGATTATGTGTAGGATGGCTAAATATTTTGTTAACTTTGACAAATAATTAGGGTTATTTAATTTTTTTTTTTTTTTTTTTTTTTTTAAATAAAAACTGTTTACTTCTAGAACATTATTGTTATTAACTACACTATCATTGTTGTTCTACTCTGTAAAATTTTATTAATACATCAACATTTATAATGGTCAAGTGATATCAAGTATCTATGTTTTTGTTTATAAAGTGAGTAAGACATGAATTACATAAACATGATAATCTTTATTTACAATTCTATAAAATGATATCTTGCAGTCTTGCTAGACAATACAGACATTTAAAAAATGATTTACCTTCCAATTCGGTGTATATAGGCATTCACAGAGCTTGGGAATTCAAAATTGATGACATTAGCCACATTGTGGAAATCAATTCCTCGTGAAACGCCAGATTCTTCATTTTGTGACTTCCTGAAAAATAATTTTATTTGATTGAAAAACATTTTGAACATTTGAGTTGTTAGGCCAGCAATGGTCTAAAATGTTTAACTAATGATTAAACGAGGTGTGAAATATGAATTTTTATTTTAAACACACAAATAAGTAAATAGCATTTAATTCTTTCACATTTGGTGATGAAAAGATATTCAAAAGCAATATAAAATATTAGCATCTTAAAAAAATTCCAATTTATATTTCCTAAACATGCGCTTAGAAATTATAGGCAGACACACACACAAAAAAAAAATCAAACATCAGCACCACCTTCAGCAGTACCTCTCTGGGAAGAAGACTGGTTAATCCACACTGCCTGATGTCCCCACATATATACACACAAAAAAAAAAAAAAAAAAAAAACCACACACACACAATTGTCTGTACAGAAAGTAAGGACCTATGTATATCAAATTGTCTTTAAATTAAGTGGCAGCAGAAGAATTAATCATTGAACTTTTAAAAGGTAAGCTTAAATATTAATACAATACTTAAATGCAGCGATCAATTTTGAGTTCTTCTGAAGTTTATTGTTGCCTGTATACCTCACAAAAAGAAATCTGCCAAAAGAGAACCAGATTTGCTATTAAATGAGCCAAGGCTGAAGTAAGGAAAAGAAAGTCCTGTGCAAATGAAAACCCAGATCAAACAGCAGCGAGAAGAGCTTCCAATGCTTAGAATATACAAAGACTTAGAGACTTGTGAACAAGCCAAAGACCCAATCAAGAGCCTTCTGCAGAAGCTAGTTTAAATGCCACTGAATAGGACGGTTTTTAAACTACTAGATACCTCCACAAGATCGCTAAAAAAAGAGCATAGCATGATGAAAAAGATGCCAAACTTGATGGAAACAAAATTTTATTGTCTAAATGTTTATGTTATTATTAAGAGGAAAGACGAAAGTATTTTGGGGGTATTTTTTACATTTTTTAATTGTTCCTACCACATCCAAAATTTTTGTTAAAAATCTTGTTTTTTTTGAGTCAGCAAAATTGACAGATTTCAACCATTTTATAAAAAAAAAAAAAATCTCACTTTGAAATTCTTTTAAATATCAATTATCATTTTTTCAAAACTTATTTTAAGAAAATCAGAAATTATAATGTTTATTTAATATATTTTGAACCAAGCTTAACTTAGCTTCTGCGCTGAAAAGATGTAATTTGAAAATAAAACAAAGCAGGTCATAAACTTTCGCATCACTTGACAGGTGATGAATGACATGGATTCTGTGATGATAATGTTCTACAGAAGGAGAAAAGTGAAATTATTTACATTTAAGTGAACAAATTATTTACCTCGTTATTTTTAAGGAAAACTTTCAGCACTCTAATTATTTTTTTGTACTTAGCTTTCACCTTTACGTTTACGATGCTTTATGGAAAATATATTATAAAGAAATTAAAATAAGACTTAAGAGTGAGATTAAATTTCATAAGCAAGGTATCTAATTAATTTATAGGTACCTTTCTTATGAAATTTTATCAGAAGTGTACATAAAATACTACAATTTTATGTACATTTATTACATTTTACTGTGTTATTTGTATTTCCATTCATTTTATTAATTTTGATATTTCATTTATGGAAAAATGTCATATAAATTTAATAAGATGATACTGATAGGTACCCTTCTCAGTTGAAATTGAAAAATCAAATTAACTTCTCCACATGCATTTTGCAAAAGTAAAGGCCTTAACAGCACAGAACAATTGTATTCTGGTTGATCTTCCATACTTTATAATTACAGCTGGATTATAAACACAAAATTACATTTTTTAATTACTGCGGATCTTCTGATTAGTCAAAATGATACAATTTACCACGCGCTAAAAAAACAAAAAACAAAACAAAAAGAGAGAAGATCTATCTTGTGAGGACACTTAGGAAACCCAATGTGGTTTTTAACTAGTTTTATAATATTTTAAGAACTTAAATGTAAAAATCTATTATAACAAATAATTGTATTAAAAATTCATTTTTCATTGAAAATTTTGTGCTTTGAGAAAATATTGTCCATATTCATAAAACAACTAAAAGCAAATAAAAGCATTTGAAATTAAATAATATATTTGTTTTACTGAGTTTTGTATGTTACAATTCAGAGCTGATTTTCAGGTAGGGGGGTCCAATTAAAAAAAAAAAAAAAAAAAAAAAAAAAACAAAAAAAACATGATTTGCATTCCTCAAAGCCTTGACTATTGTAATCACTAAACCTGACGTGATCAAATTTCTAGTGTTTTCATAAAATTAGTTATGGTGGGGGATAATAAATTAGAAAAAATATTTCTGCCATGACTTAAATAAAAAAAAAACATATTTATAATAATTTCTATCTGTGAATAGTTTCTGAAAGTTTCATTAACACCTGACAATTATTTTTATTTTTGCAAGATTTTTCAAATTAATTTGTCATACCAAAAAAACGTGCTAAAAATTGTATATGCTATTTTACTAGTTCTGGTGATACAAAGAGAAACAATTTTTTTTTTTTTTAAAATCAAAATTTAGAATGTTCTAAAAAGGAAAAAAAATTTTAAAATAATTAAAATAAACTTTGATCTTTCCTCTTAATAATAACATAAGCATTTAGACGATAAAATTTTGTTTTTGTCAAGTTTAGCATCTTTTTCATCATGCTATGCTTTTTAGCGATCTCATGGAGGTACCTATATAATAATAAGTCAGTTTTTGAAATTTGTAGCCATGATATGTCCTCTGATGATTGTTATTTACATAAGGAAAGAAACATGTCTTTCAGAAAATTCTACTCTTTTTTAACATTCCACTGATGGAGATGAGATGTTGTCTATTGACTTCCTTCAAAAACTGACAATTATTATTGACTATTTTTTTGTGCACTGCAGATACTATTTTCCTAAAATACGAGCTGATTTTAGTTTACAACATACTTGCTTCCAGGCACTTACTAGTGTTGATGAAATACCAGCTTGCTTATATTGTAATTTTAAACAAAGAGCTATAAATCTTTATTTTCTATCCTTAATTTACTCAGCCTATTTTGGAGTGAGAGGTTTTTTTTTTTGTTTTTTGTTTTTTTTTACAGACATCAAGTATTATTCAAAATCAGATCAGACATTTTCCTTTGGCACAGGAGTGTCTTTGAGCATTTTTATTTTCAATTTCACAAATTCATCAATCCTAATTATAGATATTAGTCAAATTTCCTTATTTGGGCATCTGTCTACAGTCATTCCTTTCTCCCCTACGGACATTTTTCCCCCCCTTCCGAATTTTTTTTTTTTTTGATTGGGTCTCTGTGGTTTTATTGTTTTCTTGAACTTGCTGGTCAGCGTATTTATCTTTTGCATGTCAACTAAACTAATCCCCCAATATTTGAGATCACTGGAATGTAAGGAAATACCAGTTAATGACTTAACCACACAGTCACTAATTTGTAAAATCCTATGCTTAAAAGAGAATAGAGTTTTACATCACAGTAAAAAACACATATTCAATTAATTCACCTCATTAAAATTTCAATAGAAAAAGACATTAACAAATCTTTTATACTCAACGCCCATCCTAATCAGCTATACATGCACTAGTGAAATCCACAATAGTTAGTGATAATTGAGTTATATTTCTGTACATTTTTAGAGGCCGAAATAAGTAGTCTTTTCTCTTTGATTTTTTTTTTTCTATTTCTTTCATTTTGTGCAAAGATTTAAAAGAAAACTGCAAGGAAAATATATCCTAAAACATAAGCTGACAAGTATTTAAAAAAAAAAAAAAAAAAAAAAAAAAAACCCAACTCACTTTTTCATCTTTTTGCTGTCTTTGTTTTCTGGCACATCTTGAAAGACTTGCTCGTCAGAAGCAATTATGATGTTATAAATGGCTCTATTAAATTCTTCAACAATATGGCACCTGAAAAAATAATAACTAAATGACATTTATCAAGTACATAAAAATTACTAGAATTTAATATATTTTAAGGACCACAGAATTTTTGTCAAAAAAGTGCCTAACATAACTAGAGTGACAATAGTTAATAAATTTAATTAGAATGTTCAAAGGACTTATCTCATTGACCACATCCAACATTTTGTGTAACAATGCTCATCATTGTCAGAGGGTGAGTGTTGTTACACAAACTTTAAAGTTGGTCAATGAGACAAGTCCTTTGTATATTTTCTAATTAAATTTATTAACTAGACAGAGAAATAGACCTAATTCAACAGGATAATAAAATAAAAGCTGAAATAAAATATCAGAAATTTTAACTTCTTTTTTGTCCCTTTAAATTTAACTTCTACTCAAATTATGTGAATAACAGACTCACTATTTTAAGAAAAGACCACACTTTGCTACATTTTTTTTTCAGCCAGGTGGTATTCTTAATGCTGATGGGTACTTGATATCTACTCAGTTAAGAAATTGAGTAAAATTTCTTTATTAATGAAACCACATCTTGTAGCACAGATTAAATAATCCAGGAGATAAGCAAATCCATTAAGATATGAAATATTCATAATATACAGAATGTACTTATGACTATCATTTTGTATTTTGAATGAGTTTTAAAAATTAATCAATTCCAAGTCACAAAAAAATGAATGGAAACAAATATTTTACAAAGGTAAAAATAAAAAAAGAATAAAAATAGATATTAGTCATACGTGTAATTTCATATTTTTAACAGCAGGCATTTTTAGGAATAAATGTTCAGTCTAATTGATAAATGGAAAAAAAAAAAAAAAAAAAAAAAAGCGTATAGTTAGCATATCTAATAGTCTTAAATAATGCAAAGAAGTTTACATCTTAGATACCCTTGTAACCAAATTACAAATTTATTATTCATAAGAGGCTAGTAAATAATTTACCATCATCAATTATCATAACAGATTGACATTTTAATGAGCATTTTTGAAAATGCCTTAAAATTTGGTGCATTTAAGTCTGTTACCACCTTAATCCAACTGAAATCTGATATGGCTATTTTGAAACACAGCACACTGTCACATGACCAACTAGATATGCCACATTGTGGAGATGGGATGTAATTTGAACCTGACCATGATATATGGATTATATCAAAAAATTGAATTATTTTTTTTATTGGTATTAAAGATCAACTAAATTTTAAATTTTTCATCATAATTCTCCTTTTTTTGTTTTAAATATATGCAAAATTTTAAAGCAGATTTCCACTTCCATAATTTCTTACCAGTAACAGCTGGACATAATTTTGGTCATATAAAATAAATTTATTTTACTGATAAAAACACAACACTTGTAATACTTGAATCTTGATAATTTTTTTAAAAATATTTGACTTTTGCACATACACCATTTAATCATAATTTTCTATGGTTGAGGTTAATCTTTTGGGCATTAAAATTGATATCTTTTTACAGCTGATATAAAAAAAAAAAAAAGAAAAGAAAACATAGGCTTCCTAAAATTGTATTGTATTCAACTGCACATATACTCAACAAGGAATGTTTTAAACATTTATCGAAAATCCAAATGATGAAATATAAAAATCATTACACATTGCAACTCTAAGAAGTTACAAAGTGAAAAGAACATACCTTGAAGAAACAGGCAATTCTGAATTGAGCACACAAGATTTTATACCAAACTGCTGTAGGAACATTTTCAGTCTAAATGAAAACAAGAATCTATTGATTATTAGAGACCCAAATGTAAAGCAAAAATAGATTTACTAATTAAAAACAGAGGTACAGGTGGCTTAATTCTTAACAGTGTGGAAAATGGAATCAGCAAGCCAATTTCAACATCCAGCTGAAAGCGTTGGTATTCACTTAACTCTAAAGATCTTTCAAAGAGCATGAATCAAATCCTTCTTCCTCCCACTTCAGTTATAGGTTAAATAAGAAAGCAGATTAGTCTTGGTTGGCAACCAGATTAGGGGTAAAATTATACAAGGAATTCAAAACCATGTAAGAGGCAACCACTCTATCTTTCTCAAAAACAATCATGGCAATGAATATATGAAAGGCAGCAGCTGTGTAGAGCCACAATCACTTGAAGGAACACAACACTTAAAAAAAAAAAAAAAATAAAAAAAATAAATAGAAATAGAGAGAAAAATTTGAATATTTTAATTTCAAGTGAAAATTTGGAAATTTTTCAACATATTTCAGTGTAAGTTTCACTTTCTAAAATTATATTTTTTGATATAATCTTAAAATTATCCAACTAGAGTGAATGGATCCCCTGAAAATTTTCTGCAAACTCACGTGTTCTTTATGCTCCATGTCTTTTTTTCTTGAACATTCTTTAAATTCATTAATTTTCTATTTTTTGTAATCATTTAAGTTACTAAGATGAAAGGGGATTACTGAGTGTGAAAGAACATGAGAAAAAAGGAAAACATTAAGGAGAAAGAACAATAAAAAAAAAATAAAATAAATAAAGTAATTGACATTACATTTAAATTTTTGAAGCCGTTCCAACTGTAAAATGATGAGACCTTGCTGCCAATCTAGTTAAATTTAAGTTAATCTAAATTCTTAAAGTGTTCTTTGTTCTCGAGCTTAACATCTTAAAACCATTTCTGACATATTTTCACTTACTGCATCATTACAAAAATCTTCAGGAATTCATTTGTTTGGTTCCCACTTAACTTCCCCCATATATATATATTATAGTTTTAAGGTGTGCTATATTTATGGGATAAAGTGCTCAATATCAGCGATAGATCATATGCAAATACAAGAGTGAACATTTAAGTCAACACTCAGAGGCGACAGGCTGCTTCATGCTAAACACAATCATCTGTTAGCATAGGACCCAGGACGATTGTGTCTAGCATTAAACAGCCTGTCACCTCTGAGTGTTGACTTTTGTTTATATATATATATATATATATATATATATATATATATGCAAAAGCAATAGAGTTGAATAAACTGATACTGAGTACATTTTTATCAACTTAATACTTTCACTTTTTTTATCAAACATTTTTAAATATTTAAACTGCACCTTTAGCTTGTCAGATATTATGATCTATTTCAAATGAATTAGGTAGTGCCCTTCATGAAACAAAAACTAATTCAAAGTGATCCTGGTGAAAATGCCGAACATATATATATAGTTAGATCAAATTATTGGTCAATGATTGTAGAAGGGGAGAGAAAAAGAAAAGGAGAATAAAAGTAAAAGAAACTTCACCACTCACCTGTAACATTGATTAACAGAATTAACAAAGATTAAAGTCCTTCCTCGTACCAAACCAAGTTTAAAAAGAGCACAAAGCAAAGCAAATTTGTCTTCTTTTTCAACCCTTTGTGAGAGAGAGAGAAAAAAAAAAAAAAAAAAGGGGAAATTTCATTACATTTCATATTAATATTAGTTTTATATTATTTAGACAGTAATATCGCTTTTTTGGGAGGTGATATACAAAATCTATTCAATTTTTAAAATTTTTTCTCATACTAAAGTTCAGCCAATACAAGGCTCTAGAATTACTCATGGTAAAGGATTACTGAATGCAGTGTTTATCAATGTAAGAGGAGGCAGAAGGAAGTGGGATATGAGGATAAGGAGGATAGACAGTGATTGCTTTGTGGTATGAAGATGTTAAGATTCTAGTGTTCAGGGAAGCATCCATCTGGGAGCTTGCTTCACGAAGTAGTAGTTTTGGGGAAAAAGCTGTCTAAGTGGAACTTTGTCCTTAAAAATGGAATATGTGGGTGATTCAACTTTGAGGACATAGCATGCCAAGTCCTAACGGTAAAGGTTTGAACTGGTGGAACTAAGGAGTGGAGTTCATCTGAACATTTGCAATGGAAATAAGAATAGTGACATTAGGCTTGCAATGTTGTATCTATAGGAAAGACACTGTAGAGTGGAAAATAGGTCTTTCCCTATTAGACCACATAAATGATTTTGAACTATTGAAGCAGGAAAAAGAAGATTGAGCACCTCCAGTCTTGATAGAACAGCAATACTCTATTTTGGGTCTAATCTGAGATAAAGCATAGAATAAAGAGTACTTTATGGAATGGTATAAGGAGCTGGCCATTTCCCTAGTACTTTTAGTGATGGGTTGTATGTTCCACTTGAGGTCTAAAGTGAGCTGGAGTCCCAATAAACACTCAAAACATGGAGCCAAATTGAGAGAGCAAGTGACAAAGAAAAGCTCAGAGTCCAATCGGTAATGATGAAATGATACTAGTCAGTTTTTTATCCAGTGAGCTGTTAGAGCTAAGTCAGTAGCATCCAGCTGTAAGGTTCTAAACATCTCAATTCTTGGAGTTGCTTCTATAAATCATTGTATCATTAATATATATGTTTACTAGGAATCTGATAATGTTTCTAGATAGATCATTAATAAAAAGCAGAAAGAGGCTATGACCGAAGATAGAGCCTCGAGAAACTCCAGACGACTAACAATTTACAATTTTCATGGACCTACATTCAAATGTCAAATTTATAGTGTCTGCTGTGAAATTTAATTTTTTGTTGAAAGAATCCGAGATTTTGAAGAAAAAGAAACGTGCTGAATTAATCTTTCCTGGTATTAAAGCTTTCATCAAAGAAAGTATTCAAGTCATCTGATTAAGTATAAATCATAAGTGCTAAATCTGTTGAGTTAAAAGAATGTGATAAAATATGTCATGCTAATGAGCTGAGCTATCCTCTATTTTACTAAGTGTGTTAATTCTGCATTGTTAAGGAGTGAAGAACAACCTTCTTTCCATTGACAAAAGCTGGAGATTTGGAAATATTGTTTTTACTTCATCTGTTTAAAGAAAAAAATCTAATTGTCTTGTTTTATTCTAAGAGTGTGTAACAAATGAAACCTGCCTACCAATTAAAACCTTACAGAAGTGAAGTTTTATCTTAGATACTGAGATATTATTTTTCATCCACAATGTCAGATGAAAAAAAGTTTCATAGTTAATATTTTGTCATTATTAACAACCATGTTCTTAACAAAAAAGAAAATAAATGAATAACTTTTGCTACAATGGAATTTAATCTCTAAAAATACCTGTTGTACTTTCAAAATATTTAAGAAATAAACTATTTTTGTCACATTACTGACAAAATAAAATTTAAGATCAACAAAACCACTCACATTATATGGTATTGCATCAACTGCTCAGGAACATGACTTTCTTCAAGTTTTAATGTTACCTGAAAAGAAAAAATGATTGGTTAAAAGAAAAATTAACTATATTCTATAAAATCACTTTTGTGTAGAAAAACCATCCAAGTATTTTACACATTTCTATTCCAAATATTTCAATATCTTTCTTCACAACAATAAAAAGCACACCTAGACAAAATGGTTTCCCTGGAGAAAAAAAAAAAAGTAATAATGAGAATAAAGATTCAATTCTTGCCAAGGAGGTATATTTTCTTTTCTAAGACTCGATGGTATAGGCTGGTGGACATAATTACACTGTAAGTAAACAGATGCACATAAAAATAACATTTATAGTAATAAGAAATAATGAGAAATATATATTTCTTAAAAGAGAGTAATTGAGTTTCACCTTGCTGTAAGGACACCTCCATAATCAGAACAATAAAGCCATGCAGAGATAACTCCTCCTATAATTAATATACCATATATACTTGAATATTGGTCACACCAGTAGATAGGTTGCACCCTTAGTTTGCAGTTGTCAAAGTGGGTATTTGCAGATAGGTTGCACTATAATCTGGAGAGTTACATGGCTCTTTTTTAATGTAAATATAACTAATATTTGTTAAATATTTTCAACTATTCACCTTTATTTCAGATATTTGCTTATATATATTAAAACACAAGTGATTGGTTGTAATTGCATGGTATTTACTTATTGGGTGTGGGGCTGCTCTGTTTTGATGAAAATGTGGATACCAGTAATCACTTCAGCCCTAAAATCACTTGAAAATGATAGTCTTTTGCCATAAATAAGATAAATAATAAATATAGCAATGCAGATCGAATACTCTTCAATATGTGATGCAATACTGTTGGAAAAGGTGATTGCGTAAAATCAAAACATTGGGAAAAATTAATTTTCTCCCTTGTTCTTGTTTATGCTCGAGCCCAGGGTACTACCTAGACAACGGATACGCCACAGTATCCTTCAGATTCCCTATGATGTTGAGTGGATAAGTTACACCCTTGATTTTTATTGAAATTTTGGTAAAAAGAAAAAAGTGCAACCTATCCTCGAGCATATACAATAACTTTTCCTTTAGTTGTTCAATAATTTCTCTTTTGTAAGAAAATGCATAGTTAACTATTTTAATGCTCAGTGTGAAATATTTGTACCAAATAAAGATGGGTTTTTGACTGATTTCTAGGTCCATAATTTGTGAAAAAAAATTATTTTGTATTTTAGTCATTGATGTATTCAAATCCTATAATAATGTCAAACAAGAAAAATGTAAGAAACAAACTGAAAATGAGGAAGAAATAAAAGCATACTTACAGGATTGTGAAGAACCATTCTTTTCAGTGTGTAGACATCATCACTCATTGTAGCTGACATTAAAAAGGATTGATAGATACGAGGAAAATGTCTATCAGAAAAAAGAAAAAAGATTTAAAATAAGCAGGAGCTTTATACGTATTTGGGTAGCAGCCCTTTTTTATGTAAGTTTTATTGAAGATGACTAACAGAGCATTGTGATTAGGTTTTTATTAAATTTTTCTTGTATTCATACAAGTATTTTCTTTTCTGGGCATAGTATGGAAAAACTGTTCAAATGTTCTAGGGATCCAAGTACATTTACCTAATCTATTAAGGATCCTGTTTTTTTAACTAAAAAAAAAAAAAAAAAAAAAAAAAAAAAAAAAAAAAAAAAATTATATATATATATATAAGTATTGGAATATTTTCTTTTTTAATTTACAAACCCTGTTAGCCCATTGTGGCCATGTTCAGAGTTGATATTATCGAGAGCTGCTTGTTTTTTTTTATTAATGCTTCCATTATTTTTAACTGTTATATATTGTGGACAGAGGGTGGTAGGTTTCCATGTGTTTAAATGAGTTCTAATGGAGCTATGATCAAGAGAGTCTTCTTGATAAGCATGTAGTGGCATGTCCAATGTAATTATTATTCATCAATTTGCATGCCCCTTAAGGAACTGCATTAAAATTAATAGTATTTGTTAGGCTTTCAAAATATCCTATTAAAAGATTTAACAAGGCTTATTTCCATTTACTCCCAAGCTGTGATCGAAATACTAAGGTAGTTATGGGTTTTCTTTTTCAAACATGAATATGCAAATTATCTTCATCAAGCAAGAACTGCCTGGTTGGGCAAGGTAGCATAAAAATGCAGGTAGATATTAACATCAAAGTAGTATTTTTATGCAGGTTTAATTATTACTATGCTCAGGGGATGGTGTGGGTTAATCTCCGAGGCATGAAATATCCCCAAAAGGAGAAAAGCTAAGAAAACTTGAGGAATGTTTGCTTATAGTCCCATATATTTGTAGGACTCCTACTTAATAAAACTTCATTTATTTGATGCCACAATTTTATATGATAATTATGCCTACACACAACCAACTTTATATATTTAATTAATTTTCAGGGTTCCAAGTAGACAAATGCACACAAATCTTGAGCTTTATATATTAGATAATAATGCTATCAAGGAAAATCAATAGTCAAAATCTCTGAATACACATTGATTTAAGATTCTTAATTGTGATAATTAACACAGCATTAATCATTTTGAATATTTTGATATTAGACATGCATATGTAAGATATTTAATATTCATCTATATAAGTATATTACCTAATAAAAAAAAATTTCAGTGCACAACTTATGAATCATTCTTAAAGTTTTATATGTTAATAATATTGAAGAACATAATATAGAGAAAGGTATAATAAAAAGGATGAATTACTTCATTAAAGCTTTCATATCAGATTCATAACCAAATGAAAGGAGAAGATCAGCTTCATCAATCACCAACATCTCCATTGAATCTGCTATAGATAAATTGCCCACATTAATGTGGGCTAAGATTCGTGTTGGGGTCCCAATTACAATATCTGGCCTTTCAATCAGAAGAGGTCTGAAGAAAAAAAAAAAAAATAAAAAAAGAATAAAAGCTAAAAAAAAAAAAAAAAAAAAAAAAAAAAAAAACCTGAACAGATCTGAAATGGAGAATGAAATGAAAAGGTAATAAAAAGAACATCTCCATTACCAATAATCACATCAGTAGACAACAAAACTTTAATCCATAGTATGTTCATATTTTTTGCCCTCATGCAAATATTACAAAAAATTAAAATTATAATATTATACTAAAAGGGAGGTAGTTTTTTTCCAAGCCACAAGGATAGATCAACAAGTCCATAATCAGACATAGTTATCAGCTGAGTTTTGATGTAATGTTTTTCATTGTATAATGTTTAATGTATGTGATTAATATTCAACATAATTTTACAATTGAATGAATTTTTAACCTTTGAATTAATTCTATACTAAAACAGAAAAGAAGAATTAAGAAACAAAAGCTCTTTCATGGCTCAAACAATTAAGAAATTATTTGAAATAAGAATTATTTTCTCACTTTTGGACTGGAAGAGGAACTTTTGGGCTGACATCAACACATTGTACTTCAGTGGAACAACAAATACTGAGTTTCTGAAGCAGAGAAAAGAAAATAATTTTAAAAACATCAAATTTTAAAGTTATCAAAGCACAGGAAAAAATTAATTATTTTTATCTTTTATTGAAAGTAAATTACTGTGAAAATTCTTTTTCTCTCAAGTGTCATCACTAACAGTAGTAATACCTGCTAATATAATACAAAATTGTCAACTTTTGGGAATGTTTCAGGTACCAGAGATTAACTCTCACCATCACTTGATTTGGGTTTCTCAATATATTTTTTTTTCTACATTATGACTTTGTAATATCATGAGGACTCAAATATTTACAAAGACATCTCAGAAACAAGCAACCAACAAGCAGAAAAAACATCTACTGATCAACTTTCTTGTTAAGATTATTTTGTAATTAAGAGAAAAAAAGCTGAAAAATATTTTGTACAAAATGATTTAGTACAAAATGATTTAGTACAAAATTTATTTTTCCAAGGGATTTTTTTCTCCTTGTCAGATATTGACATACACTAAACACTTATCAATAAATATTTTCTAAAACTAAATTTTCCGAGTTCTCAGGCAAAATCCCTCAGTAAATACTGATGTTTTTATACTCTGTAAGGTTTTCCAATAAAGTAAATTTTCTATTGGAGGAGTGCAATCACGATTATTCCCTCACATTCCTATCAATCGATACTGTGCTTGCCAACAGAGATTTATTAGTCATAGAGTTAATGAAATATAGAAAATTAATTATAGTATATATATATATATATATTATATATATATATATATATATATATATATATATATATATATATATATATATATATATATACACACACACAATCTTATATATAATGTACAGTGTATGTATCCAAGCAACTCCATGGCTCACACTGGTCCAATTTCAATGATTCATAGCTCATTCAACAGCCCTAGGAAAGTTAGGCACAAGAAACGATTTTTGTTGAGCTCAGATTCAGGGTCGCCAGATTATGTAAGGTTAAAAATATATATTAATATTAATAGCTATTATTGTTGCTTTTATGGTTCAAGGGGAGTAATTCTTATTTTCCTTTTGTATCCAAAATTGCAGCTAGCTTAAAAGCTCCACTATTAGGCAACATTTAAGCTAGCTCCTGTGAAGGACTCTTGGTTTGGCCATCATTATAATAGCTAGGGAGGAGGAGATATGATAGGCATCAATAAACTACAGAAGAACTCAAAATTAATTGCATTTAAGTATTGAATTAAAGTTTAAGCTTACCTTTTAAAAGTTAAACAATAATTCTTCTGCTGCGACTTAATTTAAAGACAATTTGATGTACATAGATCCTTATTTTCCATACAAACAATTATTTTATTTCATGGGTGACAGAACAAGGGACAATTTATAAGATAAAATTAATGGAAAAATAGAAATTAGAATTAGTTATACATTCGACATTTGAAGAGTTGGAGAAACATAGCTAATTAAGTAAAACCCATATTATGGAATCTATATGAATAAATGCAAAATAGGAACTCAATTCTCCCATGAATTCTGAGATTAAAAGCTCTACTTTAAAGTAATTTGGTATTTACTCAACACCCCCACTGCCATGGAATTGAGTCGTGACACAAGGTCGGTTTAACATGAGGAGCCCAAGCGCTTACACTCAGACTAGGAACAAACATTACCTGAACACCCACAACCGTCAGTTGCAAAATCTCGGTGCGAGAACCGATACCTCTCTCTGGTGCAATGAGAGGGTGCAGCCTCAGGCAGCTGTTCCACCAGGGCTGGGCACCTCTCAGTATAATTTTCCTCAGTTGCGACTATCCTTTGACAGAGCTGCCTCTGAGCGAACTCTGCCCAAAGACAGAGACTCAACTGAGAGATGATAAACAAACATGTTACAAATTGCTTCATAGTAATTTGTACTTACTCAACCCGACACAAGGTCAGTTTAATGTGGGAAGCCTGGGCATGTACACCTGGGCTAGGAATAAAAATTCCTCAAGCCCTTGCAACCATCTGTTGAGCTGGCCTTGGTGCATGCCCCGATCCTTCTCTCTAGTGCAATGAGAGGGCACAGCCTCAGGCAGCTGTTCCCCATGGCCAACACCTCTCAGTATAATTTTTCTTAGATGCAACTCTGTCCTTTGGTGGAGTCGCCCCTGAGTGCAGTCTGCCCGAAGACAGAGACACAACAGATGATAAATAAACATGTTACAAATTACTTTATAGTAATTTACACACAGTATTTACTGTCTCCCCACTCGGATGAGATGTGACACAAGGTCTTTTTTAAGGTGGGGACCCAAGTGCGAACACCTGGGCAAGGAACAAAAATTGTCCACAGCCCCCACAACCATCGGTTGTGCTGGCCTTGGTTTGAGCACCGATCCCTCTCTCTGGTACCATGAGAAGTTGTGGCCTCGGGCAGCCGTTCCCCAGGGCTGGGCACGCCTCGGTATAATTTTCCTCAGTTGCCACTGTCCTTTGACAGAGTAGCCCCTGAGCATACTCTGCCCAGAGACGCAACTGAGAGAGGATAAGTAGACGTGAAATTATTCCAAGAGTAATTTACATGCTAAAAGCTCAATATCTGTATTATATATTATCAATATCACTCTTCAGGTTTAACTAATTTGCATATTCATTTTAAAAATGTTTATTTCATTAATATGAATTCATGTCTTTCATTACTGTTCTTTTATTTGAAGAATTTTTGGTTTTCATATCAAAAAATAGTTCTGTTTAGGAATATCATCTCATATAGTGCAGAAAAGTGTTTGAAATTTGCACTTTACTTGGCCTTCAACAAGTTGGCATTTATTTGTAAAACATTCCTTAACTATAACAAGCCAATTTATGAATGAAATTGGCATTTAAAATTTTTGTTTCAAAGATTTCAAGTAATGAATATATCTTATTTTGCAAAGCAATAGCAAGCGGGCAAAGGTTGTGTGTGTGTGTGAAAGGGCAAAAAACAAAACTATCTCTGAAGGAGTACAGAAAGGAATTCAGATCAACCAAGAAAGGATCTTTGGTCAGATTTTGGGAAGAATTATTCAGCACTCCACTTTGTACACTATTAGTTACATTTCCTTGAGGAAACAAAGAAAAATTAAAAAGAAAATTTAATTAAAATCTTTCAAATACCATTTCTTTTATTCTGTTTTAGTCAATTTACAATACACACAGAAAGACCTGACTGAAGCATCTTTATGCCACTCACACTAATGATTTCAGTATATACAAGCTTGAAATGAATCCATAAGACAGTAAGCTTTTGACATCCATAGAGTAACAAGCTTGCTCACAAAAAGTAAATGGACAGTTGTTGATTAATAACAGTTCATGTCAATGTAGATGATGGGTTAATTCATGTTGGTCAATAGTTTGCATTATGAAAACCATGGTCCCTACTGGTAGGCTGTTTTGATGCAACTTTACAGTTGTTACTAACAGATTTTACCTAATAAGTTAATGGCTATCAAGTAAAAAAGAATAAATTAATTATTTAGATAAATTTAACAAACTATTTAATAATCATCTTAATTTTGCCAAAGAGATTATCCATAAGGAAATATTAATGAAAAAAATTTATATAAAGTAAAATGAATTCCTACAATAAAAGCATTGAATATACAAACCTGAATGTTTTGGCAAGCCTGATTGCAAAGTTCAGTGGATGGAGTCAGAATTATGGCTTTTACGGTTTGCTCTACAGCTGTCTACAAAGAGAAATATAAAAATTCTTAAAAGGTAAGATAAAGCCCATCTTTAAATTATGTTAAACACACACACACTACACATATAAGCCATGTCCTTTAGAACAGAGGTGAGCACGACTCTTCACAGATTTCTTTTACTTTATTATTGATGATTTCCCATTGCCTTCTCCAGAGTTTTGAATAGTAGAGTTTTTATGATTAGATTTTTTTATTGGAAAAAAAAAAAAAAAAAAAAAAAAAAAAGGTGGGGGCTCACACTATACTGAAGTAATCTTTTTGAAGGGGTTAAAAATTATGTATCTTCCTGTTCTAGCAAAATTTTGGCAATACCTGCATAAGTTGTCATGAATTTGCAGAAAATAAGATATTTTTGCCAAATCAAAAGAAAACAGTCTGATTTTATTTCAAAAGATACCAAATCTAGGAACTTATTTAGGCTAACTAAATCAGGAAATACTTCCACATTTCAAAATAGTTCAGGATGAAAACAGTCTAAAAATTGTCTTTTATGAACTAATACAACCAAATGAAAGTTATTAAAGCTTTTATTTTTAATTACGAGATGAAATGTTTAAAAAATGCAAGTTGTTAAGTGTTTTTATGTTGTATACATGTAACAGAATATGAAAAAAAAAAAAAAAAAAAAAAAAATCACTGTAAAACTATTATTGGTAGCCATTGAACTCAATGCCCAGTCACTTTGTATTATAAAATTTACATTTTGTAAATAAGGGACATTATAAATAGCAGTTAATATACCTCAGCTTTGAAGTTATCTCCCTTGAAAGATTGGATCATTATTATCAGAGTGCAAATTATGCCCCTACACTATTAAGTTGCAAACTGTACTGGAAATTGCTTTATTCTCCATGCCAAAAACTTTTAATGGTATTGTCCCAAGAAAAATTGGAACATAATGTCCTAAACAAAAACAGATCATTATTTCATGTAACAATTGGTAATGTGTTTTTTTCATATCTTCCCACTTTCAATGCCGAGATGATTTTTTGTTTTTGGATATATTGGAATGGAAATTTATTAAGTTAGATATCTTAATGGTGCTGTGCTAACAAAAATCTCACAAGGTGCCATTTTTGCTGTGCTACAGATAACAGATTCTCAGAATTCTGATTATTTTATTGAATCTGCTATCTAAACAACTTACCTGTTTTTCTAAAAGGACCTTCTGGATAAGAGGAATTGCAAATGCAGCTGTTTTGCCAGATCCAGTTTTTGCTCTGACCAAAATGTCTTTTCCTTCTAGAGCTAATGGAATCGCCTGTTCTTGTATCGGCATTGGTTGGCCCCATCCAAGTTTGGCAATGGCCTGCAAGAAATTGTGACAATTTTCATCATTTAATCAGGAGAGTAAAAAAATCTAATATACTAGCTTCTATAAAAATATGAAATTCTTTTCATGCTAAGAAAAATCCTGTTTGAGACAGAAAATGTAACCAAGCACAACCTTTTATATCTTCAAAATGATTGATTACACAGAGCCAGGAATCATCTAAGAATATGATTTCATTGAAACAAAATGTAATGTGCACTGAAATTTGGTAAGTTGAAGAGATCAGTTTTTTTTAAAAAAAAAAAAAAACTGTATAAGAGCTAATTCAGTAGAATAAAATCAAAATGATGAAGGGGAAGACAATCAATCAGTTTTCAGGTCAGCAGAGTGCATTCTAGTGTCTCTCCAGAGAAAAGAAGAAAACTTGAACTCCACAACACCATGTGTCATCCATGAAAGAATATAAATACTTTGCAACAAAATCACCCTCTCTTTTGTTTTTAATTATATAAGAAATACATGTGACAACTCATATAAGGCAAAGCAGAAATGAGTATCAAATTTTAATATTCATTAAACAACTTTTTTTTTTTTTTTTAAATAAAAAGGTGAAAAGGGATACATTTGGCTACTCATATTGGTGTGGGGGTGTAGACAACAGAAAATGTGGTTTTTCTCATGAGCGGAGAAGTAGATCTGATCTTATATTTGAGTGGAGGGGATACACAAGATAAAAAAAAAAAAAAAAATCATGTTAGAAAGAGGCTTGAAAGAAAAAGTGAAATTTCAAGGAAGAAATGTTTTTGAATAATTACATAATTGAAAACAAACAAAACAATGTCAAAGAAAAGGAAAATTGCAATGTAGAACTGAACTTTTCAAGAAAAAGTGGAAATCTTTTAAATTTGTTTCATGACAAGTAAATAGGGTTGTCAATTGTCCCATATTACATGTAAAATTGCTTCTTTTTTTTTCCCTTAAAAGTAGTACTTAATAAAACAAATGGTTGGAATACGTGCACTCCTCTGTTTCTCTTTCACAATTCCTATCACTCAAAATTACCAAATGATTTAATTCTATTTGGAGGGGTTGTGGATCCCTGGTTAAGAACTGATCACTAAAGGAGTCTGTAGCTCCCATGGTTAGAAATCCCAACCACAGGGTCTGTGGTCCCCTACTTCACCCAACCCTTAGCACGTACTGGCCTTTTTGTGGTCATGAGTTTGAGACCCATGCTTTATAGCCTAATTAGTAAGACGGCTGTTCTAAACAGAGACTTTCAGAGGAAAAAGGAGATCATTTGGTCTTCATTTTCAATTTACACTGTTTACTAACAACCATAGTCTGATAGTCTGAGAGTCGCAATAAAAAAAAAAAAAAAAAAAAAGGAAGATGCAAGAAATATGACTAAAAGACCAATCTATTCAAACAACAATTCTCATCTTAGAGTTATAACCACAACACCATCTGTTATGTTCAGTAAACCTTTCATAATATTACACATAACTCATTATTTAGATTTTATTGTTCATGTCAGAGAGCATCTTGTATTAGGTAATTCATCCTTGTCATGTCATTTTTGCTTTTTCCACTGAACCAGATTTTGATGATTTTCACTGACTCACAGCCACAACTAGACACTTCATTAACACTTATCCATTAATCTTTAAACTCACTACAGATTTTAGGTAAGTAAATTATTTTTCTGGTGTGGCTCTGTTGCTGTACGATTCATTGAATGCCACTCTTACTTTGGTCCCTTTCTGTTGGTCTGTCTCTGGCAAGCTTGTTCTGCACCAATCCTGCATCCCCATGTTTGTGTATTTCAGTATCTACCAGAATGTTGGTGAAGAACGGTTGAAGACCAGGCTTGACTCTGGCCTGTCTATGCTTGTGAATGACTAAAGTTTATGATGCTATGATTAATATCATAAATAAAAGGGATTTGAAGAAGTTTCCCTGTATAAGGAATTCTTAAGCTGGGAGGAAAAGATTGACTGGCAGTTGCAGTTATGGCTAAACAGCCCAGAGTTGTTTAACTTTTTAAATGAAGGCAGTTGATAGGAATTCAAAAAAAGAAAGTAGCATAGAGAACAGGTCTTTAGCTGATCAAGGCACCATGATCATCCAGCAAGGAGAGTGTTGGTCTATCTATGGCGAGACCAGTTTGATCTTTTTTTATGCTCTTTTGGCAACTACTTTTATGGTGGTGCAAACCCCAATTGTACTGTTCTGATTAGCTAGCTGATAATGAAGCTTGACCAATGGTCTTGTGTCATACACCTTGAAATGGGAGGAAGGAAAGCCCCCAAGAACCCAATATGATTGGTGGTCCAATCAAAATAATGTCCCTGTGTCGTAAGTAGCAAAAGACGAAGGAAAGAAGCTCCATCCTAGCTCTTCTCTCACTGGCAAGCCAATCAAAATGGTGGTCTCGCATTGCTTATATTCACCCTCAGTGAGACATTTTCCACATCCCAGAATCTCACCCTCATTGGACCTGATTATCACAGGTGTCATTGTCACCTCTGACAGTGTGTTATATCTCTGATCAAAACAAACCTGACCTGTAAAAGATTTGCTTTGAGTCACTCATTTCAACAAACAATTCCTTTATCAAATGAAAACAACACTTAAGTTAAACAGACTGAAGATCCAAGACTATCTAATAACCAATCCCACCTCTCACGCTATACTCAATAAGTGACACAAACCAGAAAATTCATGGTATCACATTGTTTTAACATGAAAAATATTTTTTTTTTTCTTTAGAAATATAAATTAGATCACCAGTGAACCTTTGACACAGTCATGGTGTCCTTTATGGTAGGATTTTTCTAAGGTTTATAGTAAGCTATTTTTGAAGCACTTGAAGGAGATTGAATTAGATATTTGTTGAATAAAGTCAGTCCTGGCTCAAGGCTAGATTTTTAAAGAACCCGTGAGAATGAAACTCACAAACAATGACTTGTGAGATTAGCATGTTAACTATTACTGTGGTAACTGAAAATTGAAATGCCAATAGATTTTTTAGAACTATGAATGTTTAGGAAAGGCTTTTATTTTTCTGTAGACAAATAATTTTAAAAGATTTAGTATAGAGTAAAGTTAGTATTGTGTTTTGTTTTAATTTTTGTAACTTTATTTTTATTATTAAAACTAAAAAGCCAATAAAAATTGGACACATTAACTTGATAGTGATTGACAGGAGTCAAAGATATGCAACTTATTTTTTTTTTTTTTTTTTTACTAATTTAACATGTATTAAATGATTACTATTATTTTTTAACAGTTAATTTAGCCAAATTAATTTGTTACATTTTAAAATATATTAATGAAACATTTTCATCACAAGTTTCTGAATTTAGTTTAAATCTAAATGATCCTTTCCACAAGAAAAAAATGGTCACATTTAGTCAAGATTATAAAAGCATACTCTAGAAGAATAAATTGTTGTGAACTATTATGTTGACTATTGGTTTTCCTTTGAGAAATCACATCAGTGGTCACCATTATGCAGTGGATTGGAGGGGAGGGGTGAGGATGCAAAGAAAACACATCCGTTTATATTTCCTGCTAGAAGATCCAGCTACAATAGAATGTTGGACTTGGATTAAGTCCAACTGAAGATAAGGAAGACAAACAAACAAGACCAATATATATATATATATATATATATAAACAAATATATGTATTAAACAAAACATTTACAAAGCACATAGACAGTTAACATTGTGTGTGAACGTTGTATTGTGCTGAATGTTCATACATACATGTATGTTGGTAATGTTCTTTAACCTCTGACCGCAAGGTCAAGACGATAATTCTCTGGGACTACATTTTGCAGCAAGAATAGAGAAGAAAGCGAGAAAGAGGCAAACTTGTGTTTGTTTTTATAGATAACGTAATCACGTGACAGGATCAGAACGCCTTGGCGGGAAACTTGACTTAGTCATGTGCTGGAAAAATATATTGTGCGTGGGTGGATTGCAATGCCCGCTTGTGTGTTTACTGACCAATTAGAAGCTGATATTTCCTGGAAAATATTTACTAAGCTAAGAAGGCTCTTAGGATCCAAAAGTGCACAAAATCTACTACATGAAAATGTAGAGATTTCAAAATTGTCGCATAAGATAGCAGCATTGATTTCTATCCAATGAATGATTGTTATTGAAATTTGAATTTGTGTAGGTATGTATGTATGTATGTATGTATGTGATGATAATAATCATCACAAAATAAAAATATCTTATGCTGCAACTGTTTTATGATTGCTAGTTAAGAACACGATTGTAACTATATTGGTTTTAAACAAAATAAATGAACATTATCACAAAAAAAATTTTGGCGGTAATTTAAGAGGACTACAAATAGCTAGTTGGAGAGTGAAGTGACTGAAATGCTACAGTTAACATTTGAATCAAATGCTAACTGTAGCATTTGATAAAACTTCACACATTCAAAGTAAATAATCCTTCAGGATATTTCAAAATAATATAAACCACCATGTATCAAATTCTCCCATATTTATTACTAGCAGTAGAGCCCGGCGTTGCCCGAGGATGTAACAGTAAGAGATAGATCAAGTATCGACCATCATAAAGACTGAAAAATAAAATTGACAAAGATTATTGTTTAAGGTTGACGGACATGCATGTCTTAATTATTTTTTTTTTTTTTTTTTTTTTTACAAATTGGTCAAACCCAAATTCAAACAAAAACATTGTTTACAATCGTTATGAGTCTATCGATTGGTGAATAGAATTTTATTATAAACAATTGTCTTGTAAATGGAATTTTAAAGCATTCTGAATGTAAATAAAAAAAAAAAAGTGTGCAAGACAATAAGAAATACTACCTGCGAAAAAAAAAAAGTGGATGTTTGTTTTATCGGCTGAAAAATGTAAGAAATCCGATCCCATATATAAAGGAACACACACACACACACACATAAACAACCTGGGTTTTTAACCTAAGTCACTCCGGAATCGCTAAAACAGAGCATAGTCTGATGAAAAAGACGCTTAAAGTTTATG